AGTAGTAGTAGTAGTAGTAGTAGTAGTAGTAGTAGTAGTAGTAGTAGTAGTAGTGGTGGTAGTAGTAGTAGTAGTAGTAGTAGTAGTAGTTTTAGTAGTAGTAGTAGTAGTAGTAGTAGTAGTAGTAGTAGTAGTAGTAGTAGTAGTCGTAGCTGTAGTTGTAGTTGTAGCTGTAGTAGTAGTAGTAGTAGTAGCAGTAGTAGTAGTAGTAATAGTAGTAGTAGTAGTAGTAGTAGTAGTTGTAGTAGTAGTAGTAGTAGTCGTCGTCGTCGTCGTCGTCGTCGTCGTCGTGGTGGTGGTGGTGGTGGTGGTAGTAGTAGTAGTCGTAGTCGTAGTCGTAGTCGTAGTAGTCGTAATTGTGGTCGTAATAGTAGTCGTAGCTGTCTTTGTCGTTGTTGCGCGGCGGGTGCCGCGGGACAACATATGATGAGTTACCACCTAGTGGTGGGCCAGTCCTTCAATAAGGCCGTCGAACAAATAGCTAGCTGCCCCCCATGGGAGGGGGTTCTAAAGACCTTTACGGTTTACCCGGGAGGCTGGACAGGGAGCAGGTCGCCGGAGTCGGTTCACTCGTTCGATCTGACGGTGGCATGGACGGGGGCGTATGGAGCGATGCCCCCAACATGCGGCCAGCGTCCGACGCAGAGATATCCAGAGCACGATCCAGGATCAAGAGGGGAGCGGGGCCAATGTTTGTCGCTTCCATCTCCACCTGCTGTCCTGCTCCCCCCAGGTTGTCTCCTGGGCAGTATGGGGCAAGTGGGGCTCGCTATGGACGCCCAGAGTGACAGAAAGAGAGAGAGAGAGAGAGAGAGAGAGAGAAAGAAACAGAGAGAGAGAGAGACAACACACAACAACGAGAGAGAGAGAGAAGGCATGGATGGAAGGAGGAGGAGGAGGAGGAAAAGGAGGAGGGGTAGAGGAGGGAGGATGAGGGGGAGGAGGAGGAGCAGGAGGAGGAGGAGAAGGAGGAGGAGGAGGAGCAGGAGGAGGAGGAGGAGGAGGAGGAGGAGGGCGGAAGGGAGGAGGACGGAGGAGGGAGGAGGAGGAGGAGCAGGAGGAGGAGGAGAAGGAGGAGGAGTAAGAGCAGGAGGAGGAGGAGGAGGAGGAGGAGGAGGAGGAGGAGAATGAGGAGCAGCAGGCGGAGGAGGAGGAGGAGGAGGAGGAGGAGGAGGAGGAGGAGGAGGAGGAGGAGGATTGTCTCGGATGTATCCTTAGTCAGCGGGTCGTGCACTCGCACCTCAGCCCCTAGGGGGGCGGGGTCTGGCCGATGCGGGTGTCCGCCGCGCAGACTAAAGCTGGGGGATGACGGACAGCCACGATACTGAGGTGCTTAGTGAGGAACACCCGTCGATGTTCCACCTCTTTATCGATTTCGCTGGCCGCCACCCCCTCCTCACCCCATGCCCCAAAGTGATCCTGTCGAATCGGGGCTCCTACGGGGTGGCATCCCATATTGGGGGGGCGAACTTGCCGCAGCAGTGATCCGCAATTTGACTCCTGGCGCGCACTGCCCAGCGGTTCCCCTCCGGGGAGGAAGCGGATCCCAAGGTGGGCCCGATTGCTTCCCCGCCGCTGAATTCAGGGGCTCTTGCACTTAGCGCAGGGACCCTGGCAGGTCGGGTAGACGCTGGGAGCTGTAGCCCCAGCGTAGGTGTGGCAAAGCGGCAGGGGCCCCAGCCCATGCAGGCAGCCTGCGATGCTTGCGTGCTGAGTGCCACTTCGGGGGGGACCCCCTTGTGAAGATGGCTGCCTCTCTGCACATTCTAGCACCTGTGCCGCGCGATAGCGGCACAAACGGGGCGTCGCTCCATCAGGGTGACTTCCCCCTGCGAGGTTGGATGCCGTGAGCATTCCAGTCGCATGTTGATGCCAGTGGCCCGCGTAACGGTCTGGACGGCCGTGTTTTTAGCAAGACCGCGACAGCGACATGAACCGGCTTTCTGGGTTGCCATCCCCGCTTGGCGATGGCCCCAGGATGCCACAACAAAGTGTGGTTATTTTTCCTCTGCTTGGTCAGGGCAGCAGGACGATTGGCAGCAGAAGCATGGTAGAGTTAGCGTCTTGCGAGCATTGTTTAGGAAATCCAAGGCACAGGGCTTCCGACATAGAGGCTTCCCTCACAGAGGGAACGGGCTGCGGAGGAGGATGTTCGAGCGGTTATTCAGCGAAGCGGCAACTCCAACGTCGAGGGACCGACATTTGTGTTGTCGTGCATGGCTGAATGGCGTTAGACACGGCCTAGCAAGGCCTTGCCCCGGAACCCGAAAACGGGCAGGAAACGCAATTATCTTTACACCCCGTGCTTCGACTAGGGACCGCCAGCGGTCCGCGACAGCCAGTTCCCCCGTTTTTGGGGGATGCCAGCCCGTCGGCTTTCGATGGGCTCTGACCTACAAGCAACCGCAACCCCAACAGCAAGCGGTTGCATTTGAGACGGGATTTATTCTTCACCTCGCGCTCGCACTCCAGTGCCGGGTCAGAAGAACGACACGCTCAGGGAACTCAGGAGAGTGTTCTCCTAAGCAGTGGCGGGAAATCGCCCGCGCACCGACTCCGTGACATTTGTGTTGTCGTGCATGGCGGGCAAACGGGAACAACATAAGATTGACATCCCCATTTTCGGTGTACCGGCCTATCCGTGGTTTTAGGCTCTGCTATGCCCGATCGTGCTTCACATACTCGCGCACTGACACGAGAGCTGCAACAGCGGCAGGCGGATATAGCGATGTGCATGACGATGGCTGCGCGCGCGGCAGCTGGCAGGCTGATCCAGTCGAATCAGCGGGTCGGGGGCTACTGTGAACTTGTCACGCAGTGGTCCTTAGTCCCCGACCCTTTAGGCAATGTGCGTGAGGTGGCAACATACTGAATGGAAAGCTGATCCGGGCGAATCAGCGGGCCAGGGGCTACCGCGAACTTGCTGTGCAGTGGTCCGTAGTCCCCGACCCGTAGGCTAAGCAGCGGCAAGCAGTGAGCATGGTACACAGACTGGCCACCTGCGTGGTGGTTGCTGCAATGCGCTGCTCAACTGCGTGTGACCTGGTCGCTCCTGTCGAAACGACCGGCTGTGTTACATGCGAACTTCGTGAGTCCGTAGCTCTTTGCTTCCATAACCCAAACTCTGATCCCGATCATCGGAAGAAAAATCCGGGAACAACATAAGATTGACATCCCCATTTTCGGTGTACCGGCCTATCCGTGGTTTTAGGCTCTGCTATGCCCGATCGTGCTTCACATACTCGCGCACTGCCTCGAGAGCTGCAACAGCGGCAGGCGGATATAGCGACGTGCATGACGATGGCTGCGCGCGCGGCAGCTGGCAGGCTGCTCCAGTCGAATCAGCGGGTCGGGGGCTACTGCGAACTTGCTACGCAGTGGTCCTTAGTCCCCGACCCTTTAGGCAATGTGCGTGAGGTGGCAGCATACTGAATGGGAAGCTGATCCGGGCGAATCAGCGGGCCAGGGGCTACCGCGAACTTGCTGTGCAGTGGTCCGTAGTCCCCGACCCGTAGGCTAAGCAGCGGCAAGCAGTGAACATGGTACACAGACTGGCCACCTGCGTGGTGGTTGCTGCAGTGAGCTGCTCAACTGCGTGTGACCTGGTCGCTCCTGTCGAAACGACCGGCTGTGTTACATGCGAACTTCGTGAGTCCGTAGCTCTTTGCCGCCATAGCCCAAACTCGGATCCCGATCATCGGAATAAAAATCTGGATCCCCGGGCCCAGCCTCGAGCCATGGCAGGCTCCTTTCGTGCATGCGCTGGCCGAATTAAGCCTTTGTCGCCCCGACCCCCACTCCCTGGCCCTCGTGGTCGGGGTGCTCGTCGGACCCCAGCAGGGATCCTTAAAGGCTGCCCCGTGCGTCCCCAACCACATCGAGAACCAAGAAGTCTGGGGGGTCATTGGCACGGGGGGAGGAGGGAGGAGGAGGAGGAGGAGGAGGAGGAGGAGGAGGAGGAGGAGGAGGAGGAGGAGGAGGAGGAGGAGGAGGAGGAGGAGGAGGAGAGGCGGAGGAGGAGGTGGAGGAGGAGGAGGAGGAGGATGAGGATGAGGATGACGAGGAGGAGGAGGAGGAGGAGGAGGAGGAGGAGGAGGAGGGAGGAGGAGAGGAAGAGGAATGGGAGAAGGAGGAGGCGGAGGATGAGCAGAGGAGGGCAGGAGGAGGAGGAGGAGGAGAGGAGGAGGAGGAGGAGGAGGAGGAGGAGAAGAAGAGGGAGGAGGAGGCGGAGGCGGAGGCGGCGGCGGAGGCGGAGGCAGAAGAGGAGAAGAGGGGACACGGGAGGGCGGCGAAGAGGGCGGAGGAGAGGAGGAGGAGGAGGAGGAGGAGGAGGAGGAGGAGGAGGAGGAGGAGGAGGAGGAGGAGATGGAATCATAGTGAAATAAGGGACGAGTAGAGATAATGGACGATACATCGGAGGGGTCGGAGGTGCAAAGGAGAGAGGAGGGAGGAGAGCTGAAGAGGAGGAGGAGGAGGAGGCGGAGGAGAAGTGCTGGTGCGGGAGGTGGCCGCAGTTTGCCCAGGTGTGGGGCGTGATGCCGAGCACGCAGCTGGACGCGAGCGCTTCAAGCCGTGTCGGCCGCGGACTCAGCGACTCCAGGGGGGGTGGGCGTTTGCCGCTCAAGTCGGCGCGGGGTGGTCTCCCACGGCGCGCTATGCAACAGTTTCGTAGTTTTGGATGGCTACGCGAGGGCGCAGGGGCGGGCTACCCAAGGTCGGCGGCTTCAGATGGGGCCCTGAGGGACGTGGCCCTACGGTCATGGTTCGATGCTTAGCGTGCAGTTAGGAATACGCCTGTACACGCTAAGTGCTCCGCACATGCGTGTATCCTGCGTGGTTGGTACTTCGCGTGTGTATCGGAGGGCTGTTCCGCCCGACCCTACTCAGCATCTACACCCCTGCGCTGCTCAGCATGTCAACGGCTTCGGTTTCGCAGGGCCCGAAACCGCATCCACGCTGAGAGCTGAGAGTAGCACCAGGGCCCTCAGGGGTCAAGAGAGAGGCATCCCGAGCTGAGCCGTCAGTGCCTCGTGCCGCTCGTCCTCGAGGGCCCCATCCCTGGACGGGCGACCAAAGGTTGGCGGGTCAAGATGGGGCCCGGGGGGGCGTGGCCCCTACGGGGGCGAGAGGGGGATCCCGAGCTGAGCCGTCACTGCTCTGGGCCGCTCGCCCTCGGGGCCCCGTCCCTCTGCAGAGGGCCCCCCCCTTCGAGCCGCTGGCCGCGCGCAGCTGCCTCCTCCTGAGGCACAGGGCCGGCCCGGGACCCGCGTGCCGGCGGCGCGCCAACGAGGGGGGGACGACTAGGGGGGAGCGGATAGCATGGCGGGGGCCATGATCTCTCCCCAGATGCCATGGCGCCCCTTCTCGTTTCCAGTGCGTCCCCGGCCCCGCCCCTGGGCCGCGCACGTGCCGCGGGCCACGCCTCGCGCCCCCCCCCCGTCTTGGACGCCCCCCTCCTGGCCGCCCCCGAGAGGTGGGGGGGGCAGGCCTCCTCGGGCGGCGGGGGAGCTTCTCGGAGGCGCCCGGGGCCTCGGAGAAGCATGCGGCCCTCCCGCCTCTTCGGAGGAGGCTCGGGGGAGAGCTCCCTGGAAGGCCAGAGGCACTCTAGGGCCCGCGGAGGAGGCCCGCCTCCCCAGCCCTCCTCATAATGAATAATGATCATGCATCATGACTGAATAATCCACAATATCACTACTCGTCATAATAAAAATACT